ATTATTATTATTATTATTATTATTATTATTATTATTATTATCATTTATTATTATTATTATTATTATTATTATTATTATTATCATTATCATCACTTTTTGTATTACTATTTCATCTCTATTATCATTATCATTATTTTCCTATTTTTATCATTATTACCATTATTATCTTTGTAATACAAATAACAATGCAGTTACAATACGTTACAATGACCATGATTGTAATGATCATGTTTTATTTAAAGAATAACACCACAATAAAATGGTAATAAAAATTATATGAAACAATGATATAGTAAATAATAATAAATATAAATGATAATGATAATGATGATGACGATGATGGTAATCATAAAGATGATAATAATTACAATAATAATAATAATAATGAAAATACTACTACCACTACTACTACTACTACTAATATTAACAAAAACAACGACAATAATAATAATAATAATAATAATAATAATAATAATAATAATAATAATAATAATAATAGCACGAACAAGAAAATAATAATAGTAATAATCACAACAGTAATAAATTAAAATAACAAAAAATACAATCAGAACAATAATAATAGTAACAATAAAAAAAGTAATAGTTGCAGTAGTAGTAGTAACAATATCAATAAACAGTAACAAAAGCACATAAACGTTACAAACAACACAGGCCCAAAGCTTAATCCCTCAGCCAAATCCAAACAACAAAATTAAACGTCTTTTGCACATTTCCCAAAGCGAAGTGTTTTGTCTCCCGAGTCACCCCGAGCAGACACCAGACAGTACTCGGGAACCAGCCTGTGGGCGGCCCAAGTCAGGACAAGTAATGGATGGCCGCGGCAGTTCGAGATACGAAGCAATAAGGTCGAGGATTCGTGGTAACTTCCTTTCAAACAAGGTATTATGGGCACTTAGAGTTTGTGTTTTTTTTATTATCGTTGTTTGCACGGGTGGGTTCGAGTGCAGTAGATTTATCGTTGGTTAGTACACACTCATGACAGCCGGGATAGTAGTACAGTTTTTTCTTCTTTCAAATCTGTTTTTGTATTTGTTTATGTATCGCTAGATTTTTACAAACATCATGGTCCATAAGCGTCACGTGTGAAGTCCACCCACGCCCGAAGGCACACACAACGAAAACGAAGGTCACAAACCTAACGCACTTCTCTCTCTCTCTTTCTCTCTTTCGCTAATCTCCGTACGCACACGACAAAAGCTGTACAAAACCGTGTATGCTAAAATCGCCATGAACGCTCCCCCCAACAGATACACACATACGGTTTGTCAGGTCGTTCGTTTCTGTTATCCCCGGCCTTGCATGCAGATTTTCCCAGTGTTACTCGTGGGTCTTGTTCAAAAGCCGCACGTATTTGGTTCCTATTGGGATGTTAGAGAAATAGCACTTTGATAGCGTTACTAAGCACTGGTACTTAACAGTCAATCGAATGCGAAAGATCACACACTGTAAATGTCCATGGGAAACAAAAAAAAGATGAACGCCAAAAGTTCAGAAGTTGAATAAATTTATCAAACTATTTGCACAAAAAGTACATTCGGTGAGTAACATCCTCAAACAGTTAAAACACTAACAACAACACATGACAATAGATGGAAATAACTTCGAAAGTGTAATAGAGGAGATGCACTAACATTGATCAGCCACGGAGGACGCACGTACAGTCCTCACCCGCTCACAACCAAGACACGACTGCCGACAAAGACAATGTTTGGGAGGCTGCTCTCGTCGAGTTGCCGCGTAGCGTTTTATTCGTTAATATTCATTTTTGAGTATTTTGCATATGATAATTATTTTTTCGTACTCGATCTTCGATGGAATATGTATTAGTGACTGATGAACTATACTTCAATCATGAATCTGAGGCAATGACAAATTTGTGAATTCATATCAATATCTAATCTGATCCACCATCAACCATTCATCAGAGCCATGGAGATAATAATTATTATGTAACACTAATTTAGATAATACATGTTCTTCATTTATCTTCAGCACAGTAAGCAACACAGTTACAAATAACCGCGTGTGGCGTGCACATTGACATCAGACTCAACGTAAATGTATGCAAAAGTTTAAACCATTCGCACAACAGGACTACAAAACTATTTGTTTACAACCGAAACCTAACTAAATGCAGACTCAAAATATACATCTCCTAAACACAACATCCAGAAATAAACCCGAATAAGTATTATTAACTAAATAATTATGCGCTCTTGAGTTGGTAACAGTTATAGCGAGCACCATCTGTCGGCCAGAATGCGAAGCTTCGACCATTCACAGGTAGGGTCTTACTACACGAAGTACACACGCGAACCTTGTATAATGCTTGCAGGTGTCTACGAGAGCAGCTTCCAGGCATTTACTGAGTGGATTCGGAATGCAAACGTAATTCTAACTCAAGTGCAAGTTAGTCACATACGTTGAGCCGATTAGCAGAACCACTTATGCGATAATAGCCACGCTGACTCCTAGCTTTTGCATAAAGGGATTTAGGGAAGTAAAGACACTATTTTGGCTTCGTTTGAGAGAATCAAATGAGAACTTACACTCTCAATATTCAGACCCATATAACTGAAAAAGAATGTAGACAATAGGAAGGAAATAAAGTCCTATGAATAAAAGAAAATGCGACCATAAATTTTCTAGATAATTATCCTTGAACATCATATATTTTATGATGTTGATCTGATAAGTGTTTACTCTTAACAATAACTGCTTTGATTGCAAAAGTGCAATGAAGGTAGATATATTTAATAGTTCGTGGTAATAATAAACCATGTTAATTTTTATTTGTAGACTAAAAAAAAGGGAATCATGACCACAATAACAATGATTGATGATATATATAGAATGAAAATTATTATAGCTTTCCGCTTAACTAGTCGCTAAAAAATATAATAATAATATTGGCGACGATATTGATAGTACTATTAATGGCATTAACGGAAATAATTATAATACTGTTAATAATTATAATAACAAAACTAATATGGGATAAAGTTACTTCGATGATTATGCAAGTAAATAGTTATGTATATTTTCGAATTATAATCATAAAGATAATACATGTGGTACTAGCGATGATAACATAACTATAGTAATGATCATGATAATTCTTCACAATGATTATAATAACGACAGCGTGACAATGACTTTATTGCCGTTTTCACTAATAAGAGTAAGATAATAATAATAAAATCAATCTCACTATTTTGTGAAATATTACTGTTGCAAATAATTCCCTCATAATTACCATCTTTTATCACGGATTTTTTAACCTCTACTCGCCCCCTCCCGCCCCTGGCAACAACCCACGCCGTCGGCCTTTCCAAGTCCCTTGTTTAACCTTGATTTCCCATTCTCAACGCTCTGTCATCTTGTCCCTCCCGCCTCTCCCCTCGCTTCCCTTCTCCCCCTCTCTTTCCTCATCCTTTTCCCTCTCTCTCTTTCTATTCTTCTTCCATCTCTTTGTATATTCCCTCTTTCTCTCTCTTTCTTCCCTTCTTCCCGCCCTCTCTTTCCTCCCACCCCCTGCCTTCACCCTCCCCTTTCTCCTCCTTTACCTTCCCCTTTATTCCTCTTTTTTTATCGGTCCCTCCTTCCTCCACTTCGCCTCTCTATACACCAGTGAGTCAGCTGTTTGATTAGGCTTTAATTAACCACCAAAGGCGAAGCGGCGTTTCGCACGTGACTAACAGCGAAGTTAGGCATTTCCTTTTACTATTGAGAACTTCAGGCTTTCCAGGGAGATCTTTCCTTTCCAGTTCGGTGTATGACCTTCGCGGTGTCTTTGCGTTTGTTTATATTCGTTTTTTTCTTCGTTTTTTTACTCCTCCTTGTGGGGTTGCGGCGTTAGTTTTTTTCTGTTTTCTTGTCGAAGTGTTGTATCTTGATTTGGAAATCAATTCTTGCCGTGGTCATTAAGGTTCGGTTTGTGTGAGGCGGATGTACCTTTTTTTCTCTGCCGTTCCAAGATGTCTTCCAGGAATAATGTCCCTTTGTCTCCCGCGTGGAAGGGCCTCACTCCCGCCGCCAAAGTATCCTCTGTTTGGGAACACAATGCGCAACAAACAGCGACGGTGCATCTTTATGCCATCCGGAGAAGAGGGAAAATGTACAAAGAAACGGTTCAAGGTGTTTCGACACGCGAGCAAACGATGAGTAGCCGAAGACGGAGAAAATGATAATAGATCGTTTAAGAGATAATCGTTTGTTTAAAAAAAAGAGAGGAAAATCTGCGAAGACGATATACAAGAACGTCGTGGTTTGCAGGTCCGTCTCAACGCAGGAAGTCGTGCACGTGGCCGATGAACGGGGGGGGGGGGAGCACCTGCGGAATACCTGAGAGAGCCTTGACTGAGTTCCTGCTTCCGAAGTCTGGACACGACCTTCGGGGGTTGTCCAAGTGCATGTCTTTGAGAGCGAGCGACGGGGAGAAGCTAGTCTCGCCCTTTCTCTCTTTTCTCTCTTCGGCGTTCGATTTATATACAGTATATATGCATGGGTTCATGTAAGCACACACGCACTTACATGCACACACACGCACACACACACACACACACACACACACACNCGAAGAGAAGAGAGAGAAGAGAGAGAGAGAGAGAGAGAGAGAGAGAGACGAGAGGAAGAGAGAGAGAGAGAGAGAGAGAGGAGAGAGAGAGGAGAGAGGAGAGAGAGAGAGAGAGAGAGAGAGAGACAGACAGACAGACAGACAGACAGACAGACAGACAGACAGACAGACAGCAGACAGACAGGAAGACAGACAGACAGAGACAGACAGGAGAGAGCAGAGAGAGAGAGAGAGAGAGAGAGAGACGAGAGAGAGAGAGAAGAGAGAGAGAGAGAGAGAGAGAGAGAGAGAGAGAGAGAGAGAGAGAGAGAGAGAATTATAATCAACAGCCATTTATGTCAATATTTCTGTAGGTCTATTAGCCAACAAATATAAAAATGTTTTTGGATATGTTCAAATTCACTTACTTTTGAACCTGTTCAACAACAGGATTCTTGGGTATTACTTCTTCAGAGTCACTCTCATTATCAGAAGATGATGAGGATGAGGATGAAGATGATGAAGATGACATATTCGAGTCACTCTCTGAGTCATCGGTTCCACTGCCGACATCAATTGTGAATCTGTAATTACCCGAATTGACAACACCCAAAACCTCAACCTCAGGATTGGTCTTATTACTTGACGCAATACTGGTAAAGGTCTGCTCTTTGCTCTGGCCATTATTATGGCTCTGATCTTCCTTATGCAGGGGAAGCTGCGACACCTGCTGCACTTTCCCATCATTAACAGACTGGTGAGGTAAGGCTGACTTTAACGGAGTGCCTTCTGAAGCGGTTCTGTTCTGCAAGGTGGCGGCATTTGTGGTCAGGACTGAGGCAGGTGCAGGGTCTTCTTCCATGCTATCATCCTCACTATCTGACTGCCCATAGCCTGAGAGTGATGTCAGGGCACTGCTGACTATGTTATGGTTTACTTCTTTCTGAAATGCAAAGTAGTATACTGCATATTATGATAAAAAGTTTTTATTCCTTTATTCACATTAATTCTTATCCTTATTGTATTTCTACTGCAAAAGAATAAAATTAGAGACATACAAATGAATGGCAGTACGAAACAGCAATCACGTAGTTTTTCTAAAAACATAGTCCAAATCTATGCCTTTGATCACCATATGAGAACTGCTGAATATTCATCCTAACATGTGAATTATCATCATTGCAAAAAAAATAAATAAAATAAATAATAATAAATAAATAAATAAATAAAAATAAATAAATAAATAAATGAAAAACAAATAATAGACTTACTTGCACTGAACTTGTAGTTACTACAACATTCATACCATTTGCATGATTTTTACTAGAGTTCAATTCTTTGATCAGTAAGACATTTGTTGTTGCTGGGTTTGTAATGGTGTCAGATACTACTTCCATTATTGTGTTACTATTAGCTTCAATAGGCTGGAAAGATTGCATAAATATAATTAAGAATACATATCATAGCATGCACTAACTACTCTAAACAAATACCATTATTCAAAACTTTGCCTTTCAACAACATATTAGAAATGTCAGGTATTCATCAAATTATTTGGATAACTCCAGAAAAAGGAAAAAAATGAAGAAATAAAAGATAGATTTACCTTTACTGGATTTGTAGTTTCTGTACTGACACTTGGTTGCTTAGCTGAAGAGACATCTGTTGAGTCTGCAGACTCGTTGGACACTATTTCCATTGTCATGTTATTACTAGTTTCTCCAGGATTCAAAACTGACCGAGAGACAGAGTTGGTGGATGAACTTTGACTTGATGATGATTCAAGCTCAGACGGAACCATATGAGATTCAATTTCTGAATGAGTAGTATTTGCTGACATCTTTTCCTCTGATGGTGAAGGTCCCTTCATAGTTGGATTTTCACTTTGTGATTTTCCAGCCACCTGATATCATTCTCGTGCTCAACTGAAAACCACAGAAAAATTAGTCAAATTAAATACAGTCTTATGAATGTTGTTAACCCTGTCTTACTCTAAAATTTCTCTAATAATAAAGCTTTCAGTCACAGCTAATCTGCTAATATACAGCTTTTAAAAACTAAGAGTCAATATTCAGACCCCACACGTCTGCCAATGAATAGCTTTTAAAAACTAGGAAGTATATATTTAGATGACCCCACATATCTTGTCAGTGACCTAGCATTGATCTGGTTGGATTCTGTCCTCGTCAGTGCTCCACAATACTCCACCATGAATCATATTTTTTTCAGTGCACAGGATTAATCCATATAATGAAATCTATATGATGTTCATTTACAAATTTTTAAGCTGGCTGTCTTATCAACTTGTAAATATCCTACATCAGCTGTCAAATGATGTTCATATATACAAATAGATATAAATAAACCAGGAGTTTTATCATCACATAAGGAAACAATCCAAGCTCTATCCTGCCAGAATAAAAGTGTTAGATATGAAGACAAATGCAACTACACACTGCAACAATACATGTGGGTGAGTAAATGGTAACAAAATCACATATTTTGCACAAGGAATGCCTCCTCTTTCCGTTCATTACCCTAATTTTTAAGAGGGTCCTTTTTGGCAACAGAAATACAAAATACAAAGTATTTTTCTAGGACCAGTCAACATCTTAAAACCCATCAAATTTGTTATCAATAACTCCTACTAGTGTCAAGAGAATAAAAAGATGAGCATAATATGGATAACTGAAATTTCCTATAACTTGCACAGTAATTCAGGACTGGTTACACTCATCTCAGCTGGGTCATGATGTCACTAATTGAGTACATTATCAGACCCGAATAATGCTGCTGGTCTGACATGGTAGAGATTCTACATTCTAGGTTTTTTTTAGGGAGCTGAACCCCTTACCAATGCCAAAAATACATAGATACATAATCTAGCCTCATCATTTCCCAATGATAATTCATGCCCTCTGTATATTGCAGCAGAGATCAAAATACAAAATAGGAGAATTGCACTGGATCAGCTGTGCAAATGCAAATATATAGGCCAGATACAGGATGCCAGCCACAAGTAAAAGATTATGTTAGCACTCCTGTAGTTGTGAAGTCGGTGGGTTTTGTTTAAGTAAAGACAAAATGAATAATGTGAAATGACATGTTTTAAATGTGATAATAATTACACTTTATGGGAATACAAAGAGAAACATCTGGTCCAAAAAGTTTATGTCCAGAATTTGTGGAAGTTATTACCAGACTGTAGAGTATTTTCCTTGCGCAGGGAATATTACATTTTTTCATGCGTGGAAAACATCATTTTGTCTGTTTGTGTTGATAGATCTGCAGACCGAGGATGAAACAAGTGTGCGAAAAGATCAAAGGAATCTTATGCATGGAAGATGATTTAATAAAGAACGGTAATTTTCTATATTACGTCCGCATGACCGATATCGACGATTTTGGTATCGTTGGATTCCTCTCACTCTATACAATGCAAATAGATAGGTTTTAT